CCTGTCCGATGGATGTCAGACTTACCAGTGCTCACCATCACATAAGCCGACTCTTTGAAATAAATCTCAATATCCTTATTATATTGAGGATATATCCTATTAATATCCTTAATATCCTATTATCTCAATAATAAATATGTTACAATATATCCTACCGGATCTTTGACTCATATGGGCCTCAACATGAGACCTCGGGATCTTGGAAAGGGGTTCATAAGACAAGTAAAAAATAAGTTATTATAATAATTTTCTTCTTGCAAATTTAAACACATAATTAGAGTAAAAAAGTAGATGACTGAGAAATTGACGAATTTCTCCTGGCAAGTAGGATTTTTATTGTGATGATGTGGAGTAGAAGGCTCATCTGGGCATGTAGAGAACATTTGATAGTGGGAGGAATATAAAAAGCATTGCTAAATTCATGCATAGTCCTTTACCAGGTCACTAAGAGGAAGATAATGAAGGATCAGCCATACTTAATCAATCAACAAAAACTAGAAAATGTCAAACTATTTCACCTCTAAAAGCACAGAAATTTTAAATAGTAAATTAGAATGAAAATTTAAAGTGACGTGATTCGCTTTAATTCCTCAATATTCAAGTGAGGAAGCATCAAACTCAATTTATTTAAAACCCTGACTGGTGACAGGTTAGTCAGCTCTGCCCTGTCTGAAAGTCTACCCTCGGCACATTCTCCAAGCGATTTCTCACGGTGTGTCTGTTCTGTTCCTGTAGCCGCAGATTTCTTCCCTTCTCTCCAGAGGCTGTCATCCAAAACACTCGCACAACAAGCAATGGTTAAAAAAACTTGCCCATCTGTGATTTCACTTGTCTTACTCTGCTCAGGCTACGACAGCAAAGTACCATGGACTGGACGGCTTATAGACAACACACATTTATTTCTGACAGTTCTGGAGGCTCGGGGTTCCAAAATCGAGGCTTCGGTAGAGTCATCAACTGTGTGCCGAAAAAGCCTGGGCTTAGCGAGGTCAGTTGGCTTACCTGAGGCCCATCCGCAGCCCAGGCTTCGGGTCCGCCCCATCGCTTTCATTAGCCGACTGCAAGATGCTCACTTAATGAGCACCTGGACTCGGTGAGGAATAACTTGGTTCTTTTATGGGGCGCCCTATAAGAATTATAGGTAGAATTTTTCTTTTTTCTAAGCAGGGGCTCATGTTGTCCACTTAAATTACCTTCTCTGATCATCTCAAATGCAGTATTCCGCAAATTTTCCTCTGCTGCCCTAAGTATGAAAGAACTGTGTTCCTGGAACCTGTGAAGAGCAAACACACCTTTTTCATTGCCCCCCAAAACTGCACATGCACCAGGCACACATTCCAGGTGGCTTGGTTTTCCTGACTTTTAATGATGTATCCTGACACATGTTTCGGTAAACCATACGAAGTTGCTGATAGTCACCCACTTTTTACTTATGTGAGCGCTAATCCCATGAGCCCTGACCTGACAGAACACTGATCAAGGTGGCACAGGTACGGCTAGTTGTCCTTTAAGGTGCCATACAATGTTCACTCATGTCCAGCAGGGCCTGTCCAGGAGCACTTGCTCAGGAACCTCTGTTACATGTGCTGTGGAGGTTTGTGTGTAAACCTGCATATAACTCCACTGGACTGGCATCTTGGCTAGTGTTTTAGGAGATATGTCAAGACTACAACATCCCGTCAGCTCACCTTTACAAAGGCTGTTGATCACGGACTAGGGGACAGAACATCCTGTCCTTTGATGAAGCACATTTCTTGCCTTGCTTCACTTCACTTGCTTCCACTGTTTCCAGTAAGTGGATCTAATCCTTGTTTAATGGACAAGCCCCAAAGGGCCATTTATTTAATTAGAAATGTTTTTAAAATAACATTTTATACATAAATGGAAGCACTTATACATGTATTTACACTGTTCACTTTTCTTAAAGGAGTTTTCTGAATCACCTCTGGAGACAGCACATTTTATGACAAACAGCAGAGTAATTCGAATCCCAAACACTTAGGTTTGATTCGTGGTGCAGCAATTTATAACAGTAAGCCCTTGGGTGATTGACTGCCTCAGTGATCCCATCTGTTCACTGTTACCCTGACAAGGTGATGTCCACTTTTTGGCATGTTGGTGGACAGTAGAGGTGCACCTTTGTGAAGTGCCTGGCAAAATGCTTGGCTTATAGTAGGCCTGCCTAAGTGGTGCTTGGTAGTGGCACCACCATTAGCGTTCCTGTCCTAATGCATAATGAGAAGACAATAGAGATAGCCAGCATCAATTACTGACTCTCCTTAGAGGGAAATGCCCTTCCACATGCCTCCCAGAGACTCTAATATATATTCCTCCCAGCAATCTTTGTGATCTATAGCTGATAAGATGTGTAAGTATGTAGAGGCAAAAGTCTGCAATGCTTCATATAAAAACATAAAGTCTACTGTCTCACAAATGTGTGCATGAAGCCCAGGGTCCGCTTTAGACGACTGGTCTCTTTCTCTTTCACTCTGACCTGGATATGGCGCCAAGGAAGGAGTGGAGTTTTAGGATGGAAGACGGCAATATGCTTCTTGTTTTCATGCATACAGAACAGATATTAAATTATGGTCAAAAGGAAACTTTAATAATGCAGTTTCCCAAGGGATTCTTTTCCCTTCCTTTATGTGGCAGCGACAGCATTCGGATTAGTCTCCATGTCTCAGGGAATCTGTACACTGCATTTCACTTTCTTACCACACGTTATTTGTTGACCACCCATTGCATAGTATGTACAGTGAAAGTGGCTGGCGTTACAAAGTTGCATGGAACATCATTTTTGCCCTGGAGGGTTTTCTAGTTTAATGGGAGGGATAGATTCAAGAATATATGATCACAGCACAGCACGGAGGCAAAACTGCAGAGGCGTATCATGGTTCGCTCAAGCTGGTGCTTACCGTCTCCCGACCGAGCACAGCTCTTTGCAGCTCTGTGTTTGGTGTCCTCACTGTGGGGAAAGAGGGAGTATTTACACCATGAAAATTGGCAAATGCCACTACCAATCTTGGCTGTTTCTTTTTTTTTTTTTTTGAGATCTTGTTGCTAAACACTTACCAGCACCCACTGTCTATAAACTGTTTTATGAGCATAAAGGAGGGAAGGGATTAATTTGTCTTGGGGCATTCAGGGAAACCACAAAAGAATGGTGACATCTGACCTTGTATGATGGTGGGGGAGGGGGCCAAAGGAGAAGAGAGATGGATGACACTTTGACAGGGCATAGTGATGTCATGAGGAAATACCAGCTCATATTTACCTATGAGACGATGACAGCAGAAGGCAGACACAGCTGTGAGAAGCTTCTATTGCAGATGATAAATAGATGTGCCTTGACCCAAGTGATATTTAATGGCAGCAGCTCTGGGTAGATCCTTGTGCCTGGGGCTGAGGGCATATGAAGGGCAGAAATAAGTGCAGTATATCCCAAAGCGAATCAGAGTCCTCTAGGAGTGAGGTAAAGTGCTGATTCCCAGGCTCCTCCTCAAACCTACTGATCAGATTCCCTTGGAACAGGAGCAGGGGCTGGCGATTTGCCTATTTAACAATCTTGCAGGAGTTTCCTCTCACACTCATTTGAGAACCAATATTTCTGAGCTGATCCATTATTGGTCCTCTGTTGGTCCTCAGTTGGGCACAATTTTGCCCCCTAGGGGACATTCAGTAACTGGTTATTACTGATCGTCATGACTGTGGGGTGCTACGGGCCCAGATGTGGGCTGTGGAGCACCTCACAATGCACAGCACAGTGCCAGCACGAGGATGATCTGATGCCAAATGTCAGTAGTGCTGAGGTTGAGAAACGCTGGTCTGGGTCATAGTGAAGTGCTCTGAAGTGAGTACAAGAATGGACCGAAGTCCACCTGTGTGGCTAGGTGGGCCTTCGCCTACCTAGGGTTGGGCAAGGACTGGGATGTGGTTACAGACCTCCATGCCCAGGTTCTGGACCGCCAAGTATTCGCAGAATTGGGCAGAGCCCATACCTATTGAAACCACATAGATGACACTTGTGAAACTCATTATTTGCTAAGGTTTTTCTTTCCTCTGATACCAAAAATTAAAAATATTTATTGATTTATTCTCAGAAAACTTTGGCTACTTCTGTGAGGAAAAAAATATACCACTGGTGCTACACAAAGTAGTCTTTGCTCGACCTGCACTTTTTTGAAGTCCGAAAGGTAGATTTCTATTGAAATTATATTGGCTAAGAACTGAATAAAGTAATTGTTTATATGGAGTTAAGAAAGCAAACTTTTAAGTCTGGGTTTAAGTTTATGAGAAGCCAGTTAGCTTTCCTCCCATCCTACTGAAATGATGTCGAGCTCTTCCTGGTTAATAAATCTGCCAAAAATCAACGTTGTAGGTAAGGTGACCCATGGTGAAAAGCAGATACACTTAAAAAAAACTTCTTCCTAAGCAAACATCAGTGTTTATTTTTCCAACGAAATTATTATCCAAAACGATGCCTTGGACCCCCACCAGACAGATTCTCCTTCATTTGTTGCGTTTCGACAGATTTGCGCTCAAGCTCCCATTGACCTGTGTTTTTCTTAGACTGGATATACAGTTCATCTACATGGAAATGAAGTGGATGACGCCACCCTCCGCTGATTACTTGTTTCAGTTAAGGTGTTCTGCGTAACAATTTGGTTTCCTCCCCAGGCACGACTTCGGTGCCTGATATCCTTTCCAAAATAAACTCGGGTGTGGAGTGTTGCACTTTTCTCGCTGAAATAATTCTGCCCCTTCCGAGGCTTTCGTGCTTTTCGGGACCTCCAAAGAGGCAAGGCTTTGGGCAGACCCACAGCCGTGAGAGCACAGAATCATCTTTACTCTGGGAGCTTTGACACTCTCCCCAGCTGCTTCCAGTCATTGAAATCCCGAAAGCTGGCTAATCCTGGCGGAGGCAGTCTTGCAGCTCCCAGGGCCCACCCCTTCCTCCTGATTGGCCAAGCTCCTCCGGGTCCCAAGCCAGCCACCTACGACGGCTCTGAGACCCGATTTGAAATAAGAGCCAGGCGGTCCTGGCTTCCCGGCGCCCGACTTTTCATAGGCTGGGGAGGAAAAGCTGGAGAAACTTGACATTGTCTTGGGCAGAGTGCGTGTAGCAACAGATCAAAGGAAAAGAGGAAGAAAACGTGCTCTTTGCTGCCTGTGGATCTCGCTGAGCTGCTTTTGTGTTGCGGGCTTCTGCTGGCCTGGTGTTTCCCTCTGAAGACCGCGGCGTGGGCTTCGCGGCGGCCCACTGCCTGCCGGATGGGTCATGGGATTCTAAACATGAGGCAGGTAAGCGCCAGGGCTGCGCGGGGCGGGGAGGGGAGCGCGCCGCTCGGGGCCCCGGGCAGCTACTCCGGAGAGCGGGCCGGATTCGCAGCTGCCTGTCCCAGGCGGTCCAGCGGCGGCAAGACGGGCTGCATTTTCCTAAGGGAACCAAAGAAGCAGATTTCCTGAGGTCCCCCGCATCCCCTCTTCCCCCCTCCCTCCTTTTGCTCTAACGGTGATTGGTGATGTCAGGCAGTCATTGTAAAGGGCTTAAAAGCGGATCGTAGCGTATGTAAATCAATTCCAGTTTGCGGTCGCTGGAATGTATTGTGCAAGATCTATCTCGAGCTTTTAGCCTCTATCCTATGCTTTGGGTTAGAATAAAGACAATTGAATATCCTGAAAAAGAATTACACGGCGCCTCTTATCTCATTTTGGTGTCCCATTCTGAGCACTTTCTGTGTTTATGGCTGGGAAGGCAGAACCAACCCGAAGTGAGCACAGTCCTTCCAGAAAAATGCAGACTTGTTTTTCTGTTCTAGCAGTTTTGAACGGTATTGCTTCTTGACGTGAGAAGACAACCCTGAAAGCAGTGAACTGAGAAAGGGCTCGGGGATTACTTAAATGAGTCTTTATTTGAAAAGAATTCTAAGCCAGCAGCTCTTTCTGTGGCTTCGGGGCATGATGAGAAAATTCTGTATCAGCCCAGGCAGAGGTTTATATAGCTTTGCCCTTTAGAAAAGAAAAGGAAAAAGTGCGTGTAGGTAGCCAAGAAAAGGGTGCAATTTACAACTCAACCAAAGTTACGGTAGAATCTTACGTCGGTATTTATCAAGATCAGGACTCATTTAAAGGGAAGACGGGACTGGAAAACCATGCCAGTAGGCTGGTAAGGGCAGAGAATTGGAGGAGTGATCTGCTTTGCCGGCCCTCAATAAATCTGGGTAGGAAAAGGGAGCATCTGTATTACCCCCAGCAAAGCGCCTCACTTTTCCCTCTTAAGTGGGCTGGGCGCCCGCCACCCTGCACACTTGGGGGGAAGTCATTTGCATAGGAAGCAAACTTTCCTTTTTGGGGCCAGGGTGAGAGTGGAAAGCTGTTATCTCGCTTTCCTGCAGCCTGGGAAGCTGAAGCGGAGCCCCCACCAAATGGCCAGGCGCGAAGACCGTCTGCCTTTTTGCCCCCTCACTTGCTGCCTGAGCAGGCGGCCTTGGCAGGTTTCAGTAAGTGCAGAAAAGCACATTTAGACGAACGAGTGCCGAGGGTCTGTTGGCACTGAATTGCCCTTGCCTGGCAGGAGACTGTGGGGCTGAGCCTCAGTTTCTTTCAGTTCTGCAAACTTATGGTCTGACCGCATTCTTTCTATGTCGAGAAATCAGATGGGATGGGGAAAAGGAGCGGGAAGCCTAAATGGAAAGGACTTAAAAGGAAATAGGAACGCAAGACGGTTTTGACAAAGGTCGTTCGCTGTACCAAAGAAGGCATTTGATCTGGTGCAGAGCCACCTGTTCGCTCCCTGACGGGGCTAAGCTCCATTCTCAGAGGCCCTTCCCACGCGGTTCCTCTGGACCGGCGGCCCTCCCTGGGCCCGATGCCAAAGGCACACTGTCCCAAGCTTGGCGTGCTGGTCCCATGCCTAGCACCTTGTGGCTTTCACGTGAATTAGAATTCAACCCAGTGTTGAAGTTTTAAGGGTACACATGTAGTGACTCCTTGGTTACTTAATGAATAGACAACTTTTTACCCTGCAACTCTGTGTGTCTAAAAATTGGCCCATTCCGTACTTGAGAAGCGGGTCGGGGGGAGCGCAGGGGAACGAGGAGGAGGAGACAGGGAGAGTCGCTGCTCGTGCAGAGTCGGGCAGCCCAGCGTTTCAGGAATCGAACACATTGTTCCACGGCAGTTACCAGCTACCAGAGGAATGTGGAGAGGAAGGCGACAGTGGAGTTAACCGGCATAGATTAACCCTAACTTTGAGCTTCTTTTGGGGGAAAGCTGACTGTTGCGTCCAAGCAGGGTGAACCGCACCCACCTGTCTGTCACCTTGGCCTGGCAAACCCAGCTGGATTTACAGGGTTAACTATCCAACAGGTCCATGTGTCATGGGCTCAGCAATGAAATGCAATCTCTTGCTGAGGAGTGATCTGTCCCGAGGGCCACATAATGCTGAACGGTGGTGTAGCGGCTGAGAGACCCCTGCCACTGACTCGCCACGGCGGGGAGCCAGAAGTTGCCAGCAGAATCAGAGAGCTGCCTGACTGGGCATGAGATTCACAGGGGTTTTTGCTTTCTGCCAGGTTGGTGGAAAAAGAATGGCGCAGAAGCATGGAATTCTTTGAGGGTGCCTAAGGTCAGGCTCAGTTAGGCCAAAAGAGAGGTTTGGAGACCTGATTTGCCTTTAGCAGAAAGTAATTTTACAGTGTGTGCCAACCTTTCTCTGCCCTCTGATCATAAATGGGAAACTTCTTGAAACTTCCGTGAGAGGAATTTGCTGTGTTCCCAGGCCAAAGGAAAGGGCAAGGCCACCTGTCCTAGAAGCCTGGCCAAAAACAACAGGTTTGCCCGTGGCATTCCCGCAGCTGCAGACACCCTCCCCAAATAGCATGCCGCCCATTGTCCCTGCACACGAGAAGTAATTCTTTCTCAAGCCAGAAAAAAATCAGATTCTCCAGACAAAATTGCCTACCAAACATAACTTTGTGTTTTTAGTATCCTGATGACTTCAAAAGCCACTGCAAGAGAAGGTGTGCACTCCATTGCCGGTGGACTAAAGCAGCAGATCCCTGCAGGCGTCTTACAGTGTGAAGGGAAAGCAGAGTAGGTTGTAGCCAATGCTTTAAGCAGCTGCTAAATTCCTGCAAGGCTAGGATGGTGCTGTTGGCGAAGAAGCTGTGATTAGCTTCAGATTGGAATTAAAATGCCCGAGGACATCTGGTTTAATAATGAATGTCTTTGTATTAATCTTTCCTTTGAGGATTAGAAAGTCCTTTACAAACATGATCGGTTTATTCTCTAACTCGACCCCAGGACAGAAGAGGTGGCCAGCTGATCCTCGTTGAACAAATGGTGAGGTGAAGGCAGAGAAAGGTGAACTGTAAAGATACACAGCAAGTTAGGGGCAAATCCAAGAGTGAAAAACTCTCCACTGAGAAAGAACAACTACCTGTGCAGCTTTGGAATTGCAAGTGATAGTCTAGGGAGTCTAACAAAACTCTCCCGTGGTGTCCTTTTTCTTATCATTCTGTTACCAGCATGTAGTGTCCCAAGTGTGTTTTATAGTTTCCTTCGCTTGAAAGTCAAGCCTGTAAAAGTTTAAAAGGCATATCTGTTCTCGTTTGTCCCCACACTGAGATCAGGCAGCTTTTATGACATCAAATAGAAAGGTACTGTAACTAACCAGAATTTAAAATATGTGTCTGGGAAGTGTTCCCTTTCAGCAGATATTTTAAGTTTTTGCACATGGTTTGGAGGTCCAGTGTCTTCAACACATGTTAGAATGTTCATTTCTTCCTGGCTGTCTCCCTTTTGCAGGGAATGTTATAATCATAAGATTTGCTGTCAGGGGGGTTAAAGATCCTTATTGGTCCTTTTGAAATATTTTTTTTTAAGTTGGCTTTTCCTTGCCATTTGTTATGATGTGCATTCGTAGTTTGCTGGGCTGTGGACCGCATAGGCTGCAGGCAAATCCTTTAATTGGTAGTTGCATGTTATCCACAGACATTCCAGCAGGTTTTAAGGCTAAGTGTGTATGTGGATGTCTCCTGGCTTTGATCCCTTGTATGGTAAATAGACATCCAAAGTAGCTATGGCAACCTGGGCTGTGCATTGGTGAAAGGAGGGGATTTGGTCACTGGACAAAGAGCAGTTTGTTTGATTAGAGAAAGGTGGGGCCGATCAGAACATTTTTAAACCGACATCATTTGAGGGTCCTAGTTCATCCAAGTCATTTGGATTTTTCTTGATAGGCAAAAAGAATTATTGGCTAACCATGACCAAAGTATTCTGCAGATGTAATTTAAATGCTTTTTAATCAAGTGGTGGCTACTTTCGAAGGGCGACTTATAAAATGATAAGGGAACTCTAGCATATCACATCAGTATCTCCATTGCACTTAATATGAATGTATTTTCAGAACTTTGGTGGGATTTGTTAAAAAAAGACCATGATCTGATTGGACGGTGTGCATTTCAGTTACTCACCTGCAGAGGTCAGGCTTGAAGTGTCTATGATGGGAGGCCAGGCAGTGGACGCCGCTGCTGGAAGCTGGGATCAGAGAGAATTGCTCCCCTCACTTGAAACAATTAGTTAGCAATTCTTTAATCTTGTGACCAAAGCCACGATGAAACGAGTTCATTCAGGAAAAGAATATCAAATACGCTGTGATTAAAGAAAAGGCTACAAAGCCAGGTCAAACAGCAATTTAATCTCCATTTCGATATGGGCCAGTTATCAACATGATTCTTTCTGGCTCATTATCAAGCCCTTTTTTTCAATATGAAACTCATCTCAGGGGTTTTGTTCTAGAAGGTTGTTTGCCAAGTTTTGTGAATTGGAATGTTCTAGAAATTTCTTTAAACAAAAGGACAAAATACTAAGGACCCTTGTGGATCCACAAGAGGTCCACCTCCCCCCTATCCTGGAGGAAAATATTCCATGGACACAAATCAGCATAGTTAATGGCCTACAGAAGGTTGGATGGTATTAAGGAGCTCAGAAAATTGAGGCACTGAAAAACATGCTTAGAGGGGACTTCCCTAAAACAGAACAAAATAAGAAAGCCCTAAGAATTTACCTGCTTTGTGCTATAAAAGAGAAGTTCTGGGTAAAAAGGCGCACACGCAATAATGGAAGAGGTGCTGAGCGTTTGTAGAACAAGTGGATTTGAAGGTTTTATACACAGCCAACCGTTCGTGATGAGTGAAATAGGAAGGCTCTCCTTCATTTCTTATATCAAAAACATTGAGTACTTACAGAACCAATATAGTCAGTAGTTGGCTTAATAAAGCTACTTTAAATGACTTTTA